ATGAGCACTTAGGAACTTCATGCTGAGTTGACACATCTATAATTTACTGTCTCTTTTTTTTAATGTCAAGTGGACAATTCTGCATGTTTTTTTACCTAACAGTTCAAGATGTATGCTACATCATTGTTCAAGATTTGGTAGGAGTTGATGACATACTCTTCATTTTAATCATATACTGTATGTATTCATATATGAAATATAAATAAATACATAAAACATATAAACTTCATAGAATATTCATTTAGGAACATTTATTTTATTTAGGAACATTTCTTCTTTTTCATGTGTCAAAGTCACTTCTTCGACAAACTAAGTGGATATATACAAAATATAAGACACATAAAATATAATTTAAAAAATATTAAAACACATGCTAAATTTAATAGAATATTTAGGAAAACTTTTTCTTTTTCACGTGTCACAATTCCAGTACAATCACTTCGGCAACTGCTTCATGGTACTTGATAAAGCAGTTGCGATCAGCATTGAGGCACAGGTGGTCCTTACAGACCCTACAGACCATTAACCTCAATATGTTCCCCTTCCTGCTGCAGTACATGCAGGTCTGGCGGTTGGTGTAGACCAGTGGTCTCCAACCCTGCTCCTGGAGAGCTACAGTCCTGCAGATTTCAGCTCCAACCCCAATCAAACACACCTGGACCAGCTAATCAAGCTGTTCAGGGTTGTTTGATAATTACAGGCAGGTGTGTTGGAACAGGGTTGGACCTGAAGTCTGCTGGGTTGGAGACCCCTGGTGTAGACAGGGGCATGGAACAGGGACATGTCAAACCGCTCAGAAGCATCTGGGGTGTGGCTGTGGTGTCCCTGGACAGGCTTGGGGACATCAGCAGAGGTGCTGGGGGCGCATTGAAATGATGAGCTCCTTCGGGGGCGAGACATGACTGTCCTCTGGCTGTTGCAACTCCTGAACACCTGGATCCGGAATGTCTTTAACGACAGGCCATCCACAGCAAGAGCCTTGTTGTCCCGCCTGTACATGATCCAGGCAATCATGAGGCTGACATCTATTGCATAAGAAAAATGCAAAACAAAGAATATTGACATATAAATTGTAAATATATAATAAGTGAAAAATAGCACTAAGTACTGGTGTTACCACTTATTTTTGCAGTAATAACTAAGGCTCACATGAAAAAAATAATCACCAATATATGCCATAATAATATAAACTGGGTTAGTAGTAATAATCATAATAATAATAAAAACTTTATAAGTTAAACATTTCACTATTTATGGCTTGATAATTTCAATAAATGGCTATATATCAATATATCAAAAGTCATAAAACTGACCAAAATGACACATATTTCACTATTTATGGCTTGATCATTTCAATAAATAGATTAATTTTCCCACTGGATCACGGTATAATGTTATACAAACCTGTGGCAACATTCAATGCACTATTGTCCTATGTTATAATACATTATTTGTAAAAAAAATAAAAATACCTTTAGCTACTACGCATCGGGCATATGTCTAAAAATGGACATCCTGTCACTTGCGCTAGTCTTACCTGAACTATGATACCATATATTATCATACCATTTTTCATGCCACAACGTTCACTAATTTCTAGAAATCCTACGCAAACAACATCCATCTCATCATTTAACACAACTATTCAACCATATAATGTGTGAGTTTCATAACTTACCATTGTTCGTTTCGATGCTATTTCCATATTTGTGGGAGTAGGTAGAGGCATAAATCCGTAAGTGTTACTTCACAAATTCCAGAATAACGCTTAAGTTTGAAATGCTCAGGGCTGATTGGTCAGATGCCGTGGTGTCACCTGGGTGTCACTATCTGTAACGTATTCTGAGGTCCGTTGGTTGGCTGGGAGAAATCCATGTGCATATATACGAGCTCACGGAAAGGCATGTAAACGCCATTGTGAAGTATCGATTAAGTTACCAAATATGGTTCTTCGCCTGATTTAATAGCTTTTCATTAAATTCACAAACTCCTGCAGTTCCATCACGAACCCCAGTCTGAAAAATTCTGACGTAATGTAATATATAATGCACTTCATGTTGTTGATAAGAAAAAAATTATATATTTTCTTTCTCTCTATTTTTATATCAATATGGTACAAGATCATTGTACTCGCATCAATTTGATAAACGAGTTAGGTCAAAAATAATCTAAAAGTAATCCAAAAGTAGTCTGATTATATTACCTTGAATATGTAATGTAATGGATGGTAGCCTACTAACTACAATTTTTGTCATGAATCAGTAACTGATCCACCCAGTCCTTATGGCTGAATGGAAACTAAATGGATGAGTGCACACATACCTGCATGCTTATGTGATTACAACCGATGGAAGGCAGATTTGCACAGGAAGTTAAGGAAAAGCATTATTAGTTTTCATTTTCCTTAGACTGGACTGTTAAAAATGTGTATTCAAGTCATAAGAGTAAGACGGTATGAATCGATCTGAGTTTAATGGTTAATCTTTAAATATTTATTCTGTTGATTACATACAGTGGGGGGTCAAAAATTGTTGTTAATGTGTAATGAAAAGGGTCTTAAATGGAAAAAGATTATATAGTTTTACTGGCATAAGGATCTAGTTCTAAACTCCCCTTGTAGTTGAACAGCAGATGTGGGCCTATAGAACATATTAATTAGCTGTCATGTTTTGAGACAAATTAGTGAAGAGAGATAGACATGTGATGGCTGGATGATGGAGGAAGTGGAGCAGATGGAAACTCACTGATGAAGGACATCAAGATGGCAAACAGGAAATAGATAAATATGTGCAGCATCTCATGGGTATATATTATACTTAAGTTGGTGGATATGCAGTCCTAGTGGTTGAAGTCTGGGCTGGTAACTTGAAATGTCAAAATTGTGCTCTTGAACAAGACATTTAACCCCCATTCAACCCCAGAGCGACTGTCTCAATAATAATTCATTGTTGCATTCTCAGTGAACACATGTTGTTAACTGGACAGTGTGGCTGCAATGTGTTGGTCGAGCATTTGTTGGTCGAGCATTTGTGTCACTTTGGCTAAAAGTGTAAGCTAAATGACAAATTAGTATGTTAAAATGCATTAATGATCTTAGAGAAGAAAAATACCCCATTTTGCTCCAGCAGCAGATAAGCCAAAGCATCATACAATAATAAAAGCAGCTGAATTGCTACAGCTGGCAAGCACTTTGGCAGCAAACATCTCGCGGTGACAACACCCATGTGTTTGTGTGTTGATTCCATTCATAACTGCCAAGGATTATCATCAGACCTTGAGCAGATTTCTGGGGGGCAGTGGTGGGTTTTTTTTTTTGTTGTTTTTTACAGCTGTTTTTACAGAGCGACAGTCTTTAAAAAAAAACAAAAAAAACATTTAAAGTGAATGTGAAATGCAACCCATTTTGCCACATTAATGTGATGTATTTTAAAGTAAAACTGGATGTTCAAAGGGGAAAAAAAGGCTGGTTAGGACTTGTTTGGATTGTGAAAAGTAGGCATTACATACCAGAATGGAGCCATAATGAATGCAAGGTTGCTATGGGTTAAAATGATCCAACACAATCCCATTTATTTTCTCCATAAATGAATTGATTTTTTACAAGAATGGTTAAATACAGACCTATTGTAAGCTACAAGGTTGTTAATCAATGATCTATGTTTTTGTTGAAGCCATCAGCGTGGATTATTGTAACTTTTTTTTATTATTATTATAATTAACAGTGAAATTCCTGGTTAAAATCTACATTACCTATGATTCAGCAGCAAAATCTCCTCTAATCATAATACTCCATGGGATTTTAGTTCTTTTCCTTATTAAAGCCATCTTGTACCTTTGTCTTTTTGGACAATTTTGGACCACTTTTTTTTGTTTCAAATCAAAGTTTGTTGTGATTCACCTCATAGCTGGTTTGGTTCATGGCATTTAAAGGTGTAGTATGTAATATTGGCAGTCATAATTCAAAATGTTGGAGAGGGTTGTTTCCCCCCGCCCCATCCTTGCCAGATTGAGGACACGCAACAGGAATGAATGCAATTGACAATGGAAAGCGACTAGCCTTACACTGAAAGTTGATTAGCTAATTTGCAACATTTGTAATATTTTTATTGCAGAGGCTTTTTAGGACAGATAGAATCCGCGATCCCTGACCCAGTTCGTTTTCTGGCTTCCATGGCTGCAATACGCTGTATTTTCCACCAACTGGGAATCTGTGGTGTCGAAATATTATTGGTTAAATTGGCAGTGAGCTGGATCACACATACCAAAACAAAAACAGACATTCCGACACGGAATGCACATTTCAAAGTAGAATAATTGAGTGTCCTAAATCTCGGCAAATATATTATTAGTTTTATGCTTTTTTACAACAAATAAAAATTACATACAGCACTTTTAACCAACAAATACTTTTTAAAACTGCTTATGGAAAAAATACTGCCAGAATAAAGGCAATTGAAAAAGTCGGCAGGAACTGTTGAACTCTATATGATATTTTATTAACAATGTTCGGGACGAGCACGTTCACATAATCTACCCAATCAGAGCCAGAGGAGGCTTATATAAAGAGCCGAATTACCTCCGTTCCACAACGCTGTTTCCAGCATCCCTCCTCCACCCCAACTCCTCACTCTCGATTATTCCTATCCCAGCCAGGGATTGGGGGGAGAGTGCTCTGGGTTCGGGCCAAATTCCAAGCTCAGAGCCCTCTTCTCGGACAGCACGCCAAATACACACATTGTATACTATATTAAATTATATGTAAGTGTGAACTCATGTGCACATGGTCTTAGTGACATCACTAGAAAAATACTTTCAGACGAAAAGCAAGTTGGTTGGATTTTTCTCTCTCTTTAGAATAATGTTAAACGGGGTCAATTCTCATTTCATGTTGACTTTAAATATGTAATTTTAGGTTAAACAAAGCTTTTCAAAACGTATTCCATATAATCACTCTGACCTACCTTAATTCTACAATAAATGCTACAGTCATGACTCTTCGAGACATTACTAGGATGTTTTTATTCAGATTTAAACAAATATTTCTGACACATTCTTGAGCCTCCATCTTGCCTCAATTTTAAAGCATCACAAATAAACCAAGACGTTTTTGAGTCATAGGAGCTGCTATTTTTGAACGTCTAAAATCATCTCAGTCGGACTTGGTGGCAAATCTGCAAGTGGTATGGTCTGAAACCATTACATAAGAGAGAGGAACAGAGCAAAGACAAAAAAGTAAGGCCACACGATAGATTGCACACTATAAAATACACCAACAATTGACCCTCTCCGCAAATGGATCTTTTGTTCCACTCTCCCTGGAGCACTTTTCTTTGAATATAATCCAAGTCTTTTGGCAAGAAAGAAATGATTACACATAATAACAGCCTAAGACGAACATCATTGGCACTGACGGCTCTCCATGGTGATACGTTTCACGTGGCTCTCCACCTTTTTTCATGTTCCCCACGTCTCTCGGCTTTCCAGCACATGCTAAAGGTTCTTTAGAGATAAAACAGGAAAAAAAAGCTTGACATTTTCTCAAAGAATCTCATATACTTACAAACATCATTATACACATTTTACACAGGGCAGTATGGACCAAGTCTAGCCAAATTGTTTGTTCCAAATGTGTCGCTGATGAATCCTTGTAGTTCGCTGTAAACGAATTTGAGAAATTAAAAAGAGCACAAATTGAGATTTCATCAATATATATTTTTTTTCTTTGAACAAAAGAAACATTTACATACAATTATTTGGTAATGATCAAGGCAGTGAGCAATTTTGTACTGATGTGCGCGGGGGATAGCGAATAGTGATGTTTTTATAATGGTTACTTTATATCTCTAGGTAAATATACAGAGAGAGTTCATCAATGGGTCACATGATCGCCCGGCTGCAATTTACAGCATGTCCTCAATCATCTGTCCATCATAATATGAGAGAACATAGTGGGCTACTTTTCTCCTGGCAAGAGAAGAAGATTATAGAAGTTCTCTGTGTTCCCTGTCAGCTTCTCAACAACGCTGGTGGTTCCTCCCTTTCTCTTGGATGGGGGCAGTGGTATTTAGTCTTTTTGAAGCTCCTTTTAGGGATTTGTTGTTTTTTGTTTCGACTGGTTTTTAAAGATGGCGTGTGATACACACATACACACACACTAAGAGAGAGAGAGAAAGATCAATGTCAGTTTAGAGAAGTTCTTTGATTGAGGTCAGAAGAATCCTTCAGATGCTTCCTGGTGTTGTAGAGTCAGGTTGTGTTTACAGAACCTGATTGACCAGTGCAAAGGCCAGTGTCAGTGTGGCGGCAGAAACACTGATTGAAGTCACAGATGAATGTCTGGCTCTGTTGTTGTCAGCCTGGTGAGAGCCCACCGAGTCAATGGATCCCTCCATATTGGGGTTCACCACATTCTGTAGAAATATTACAAGCTTTTTTTGGTTATATGCTTTGTTCAAGTATTCAGATTACGGGTAATTCCTGTTCCTTTATGTACTCAGTAACGTTTAAAAAATTCATTGGTTTGTGCTGTAATTTAAGAGGTATTTCTATAAAAGCATAGAGGAGACATTCAGAAATATGCAGGTATTTAAACTTTATTTATTTTAACTTCATTATTTATACAGTGACAATGACTTGCTGTTGTTGTTTTTCCTGAATGAATTCACATCCTGCAGCATGATGCCATTAAAGTTATGCCTTATTTAGTTAAAGAGATATTACAAGACTAGAAGCTGGAAAGTGCAACCAAATTGCCAAGAAATGTTAATTGAGAGAAAGAAAAAAGGAATATATGCAATACATTTCCATTTTTTCATGTTAGAAGTGCAGCATCATGACAAAATGAAAGAAAATGAAATTATGGTCACTTAGTTATGATTGTGATAAAAATAATATGATTTCCATTTAAAAATAAATAAATGTCCATTTGATAATTTACCCAAAATACGTAGGTAGAACAAAGTAGGAACAACAAAATGATGTTATGATTTATTACATTTCTTATTTCTTACCTCGTCAGCACAATCAAAACTGTTAGAAGGAGAACATTTCTGCTCACTGTCCTGTGAAAATAGAAATAATTAATATTCTTAGAATTGCATCCATTACCTCAATACAGCACTGGTCAATGATGATTGTGTCTGGCTGCCCAACATCCATCAACCCATCATGAACCAACATAATTACCCAAGACATACTCTAAGCTGTAGTGGAACGGTGTAATAGGGATGTTAAAGTAAATTGTGTCATTTTTGGATGTTACAATACTTCTATCCTGGCTTAATAGAGAGAGACTGTGAGTAAGCTATTTGATTCCCCTGAAAAGTAAACACTGTGGCGCTGTGAAATCATAATGTTTGAGCATCTCAACAAGCTCAATATAACAACACCGTCTCAACCAATAACGCGAGTTACAGGTGGGACTATCTGTTTGGTTGACCAATGACAGATGGGGGTGAAGACATTTCAAACGTTCCCTTTAAATATTCAGAAATCAGTTGATTGTGAAGATGGAAATTATGTGACCAATCTTGTTAGAAGGATTCACTTTGTAAGTGTCACTTCTGTGCGAAATGTCACTCATATCAAGGTGTTTTTAGCAGGTGGGTTTTTTACATGCCATGAGGCAGAATAAATGCATTGGATATTGGAAACAGTCGTGCACTTAACATGTTCAAGAACTTCTCAGCTAGTTAGTTCGTTAACTACAAGACAATCATAAACGTAACATCTCCTGTCTTTGTGAGAAAAAACAACAACTGCAAACCCATAATTAAGCTTAATGGAAAAATCGCAAAATGGTTTGCTTGATTGATTCTTTGAATTGCTTTTCCCACAAGAAACAAGCCGTTTTTAGAGCTTGAGAAAGAAAGAAAGAAAGAAAGAAAGAAAGAAAGAAAGAAAGAAAGAAAGAAAGAAAGAAAGAAAGAAAGAAAGAAAGAGCATGAAATCAATGAATAAAGTTACTTTTTAAGATAAAACACTGACTTCAGAGGATTAACAACACTGTTGAAAAAAAGCAAACAAACAGAAACCCAAGCAGAACTTTAATAGGCGTGGTGAGATTAATAAGCAAGATTAATAACTGATAGTTTCAGTGCCCTATTTAACACCACAGTCAAATCCCAGGCTACATCGAGAAATGGATTAATCTCAGAAAACATGAATTTCCTTTTGTGCCCATCTGTAAACATTCCATGGCGAATTCACTTAACATCTGGAGCCATTTTGCGGCCACTATTTCTTTCGCAAAACCTGCATAATATTCAACCACCACCTGTAATCCAGTGTATCCAGGCACTTGTGCTCTTGATCTACTCTTGTGTAACAATATAAGCAACAACATGCCGTTAAACTCACGTCATGTGCTTTTGGTCTTTTGTATACAGCAGTATCTTGTTCCCAAAGGAGGCTGGGTATTTTGTCATATAGAATCTCAAACAATTCCAGTACTCTGTCAACTAATTTATTTATCTGTTCGGATAGAAAGCAGCTCTTTTGTTTCTGCATCTGCACAATTTGATGACGTTTCTTTCTTCAGTGTAGATAATCATGTTTTTTCAAATGCTTTTCTATATACTGACAATTGGTCCTGTTCATGCATGACCTCTAAACACAAAAAAATACAGTTCAATTTATGGAAAGCCTGTATTTATGAAGGCACCTATTGTCATTCTATTCAGCACAAACATGCATACTTTCTATGCAACTATACCAATTCTCTTTTTCTAAATAAAAAGTTGCCAAGGTTGGAATAGCATTTGAAAAGAGATTCTGACAGAACAAGTATTAAGTAAATCGATCTTGAAACAGTAAATCTGTTGTCTGCAAAACGTTTTATGCCTTACAATATCCACCCTAAAATATCCAAATTGGACTTTGTGTTCATCACAAACTAATATCATGATATAAAATGCAAATTCAACCATTATGGAAATGGATGTGTGTTTTCCCCTTGTTTTTACGAAAAGCTGGAGTTTTTCAATGAGAGACACAAATAATCACAGTCTTGACATTCTTGAGTACAGTTGCATATTCAATCAACACATTCCATACTCGCACATTTTTTACTAAAAGCACAAGTTCAACATACTTGTGAACGCGCCAAGTAATCGAGCAGATATGAGCACCAATGTCAGATACCACTTTTCACAGATTGACTGTGGCCTCCTATGACAATTGCCAGAGACATAAATTAAAAGAGTTATTTCCTGTGTGACTACATGATATTTCTGTCTGTGGAGTTTTCATAATTTGTTTCAGCATGGATGAGAGAGTACAGTCATTTTCTTCAGTACCCAGGGGCTTATAACTGAATCCTCAGGACTTAGGACAGAACTGCAAGGCACGATATGATGGAAGTGGTCACACAAAGCCATATCTCTATAATGCAGCCCCTTTCAAACTTGGATTAGCTGACAAATAAGTGTTTTGATGACATCACTCATTTGCATAGGGTTACATAGCTTCCTGTATGCAAGCGAAATCATATTAACATCCTTTAGATCAATGCGACAATCAACATAACATCTAGAGAAGAGAGAAGGGTAAAATGGGATATGGACATGACATGGGCCAGATTCAAACCTTAATCTTACATCCTAGCATCAAGGCTCAATATTTCATGAGCATGTGCATTATGCCATGGCAGACAACTTTCTCAAGGAATTACAGACCTCGTTGGTGTGGACAGCCATGCCGAATGGGACTGCATGAGCTGACAAATGCTCTTAGTTTATGAATTATTCACCTACATATTGAATTATACAAAATTGTTTTACCTTCCACTAGACACTCTGCATATATTCAGGTAAAACAGGGAAAAAGTGGAATTCTGCTTTATAATGATTGTATAGTTGGTGTCCCCAATCTTTGGCCTATATATTTAAGCAGGGTTTAATGGAATTTCTGTGTTTTGATTTTGTACATACACAAAGCAGGTTTTAGCACTAATCTTGACATTCAGAGGAATTTTAATGTCAGTATGTGACACTCACAGGACTATCCTAATTGAATGGAGGCTTTTTTTTCCCCTGCATGGGCATAAATACAAGCACTACTGCCCATTACGCTGACTAAAAATGCAAAAAGCAAAGGCTGAGGGAAGCAAAAGCAAACTGCGTGATTTCTATACTACTAGCATAAGGCTGTGTGTCCACCAAAGCATTTTTCCTATGGCCAGTGTATTTTTTCAATGAAGCACTGAACGTCTATTCTATGCTGAGGGCTGCATGTCACTTTTTCCCAGCCGTCCAATCAAAGTGAAGGAGGGGGGTACAAATACCACACCGACCAATTGTCACATCCTGCTTGTACAACGACAACAGATGACAACAAGCACAACAATGGAACAAAAATCATTAAACAAGAGCCAGAGCAAGTACTTTACATGTCAACATTTTTATATTCAGAAACAAACAATCTACAAAATCAGATACTAGTAACACTTCAGTGGATATTCCGTATCATGATAACCACAGACCCTCAACTGAAAAAAATAAACCGCTGTGCCGTAGAAGAGCTCTCAAGCGCCCCCAGCTAAGCGTTTTCAGAAGAGCTAGCTAAAAACACTTTGGTGGACACATGGCCTAAGCATAATAATAACAACAACACATTAGCCAACTAGCCCAATGACCAATTAAACTAGCTCAAATGCCGAAACTCAAACTATGCTACTGACATACCTAAAATACATATTGAAATACATAAAATACTTCATAATCACTAAAAATCACTGTACTCTTCACATTACCTTAAGACTGACAGCTGGTGAACAAAATCTTTTGGTGTAGGTGATACTCCTTTATTTTTTAGCTATTTGAAAATAAACTATTTACAATTTTAAGATCTTGTTCTGATGCTACTTTCTCTTTGGTCCATGTCATATAGTACATCTTTACACCAGTGCCCCTCACAAAAATATAATCTAGCATGGTTGTATCATTGGTAGACCCTAAATTGGGTAGAGTAAATACAGTTTTAAAAGTATCCCAATTCCGTGGTAAAACCGTAGACTTGGGAACTTTATAACCAAAATTGGCAATAATAATAATTTCCTGAACACTCCCGCTGTCTGTAATTGGCTAGACAATCAGATAGCCCCGCCCCAAACCCACACCATTGGTTGAGCTGTTGCTGTGCTAGGCTGGTCGGGATTCTCAAACAAACAAAACCAGTGTTGAAAACACCTCAGCACAACAGTTTACAGTTTTGTAGTGAAATAAACCTACAAATAGCTTATAAGTATTTTAGAATCAAAAACTGCACACAACCTTTAACCCTTGTGCTGCATTAGATTTTTTACGCCGTTGAGTGCATTAATGGACAAAAATGGCCACATATTAAACATTGCCTAAAATATTATATATTATTATTATTTTCCACTTTTACCAAGTTAAATCTTTTAACCAGCATCAGTCCTCATCATAACTACCAAATATTTATTTAATTTCAGGATTTTAACCCTTTAAATACCAGTTTTGGTGGCGATACCATCAATTTGTATAAGAGGAAAAAACACAAAAATTTAATTATTTTCCATACACTAAATGGAAAGAGAAAACTTTAGCTTTGGATTATCACAGTCTTGAATATGTCAAAGATTAGGGGCAACATTATTTCTGGTGCATTTAAAGATTTTGTGTTATGTCAGATTTTTAAAAAAAAATCCCTCTTAGCGCGTTAAGGGACAAAAATGGCCACATATTAAACATTGCCTAAAATATTATATATTATTATTATTTTCCACTTTTACTGAGTTAAATCTTTTAACCAGCATCAGTCCTCATCATAACTACCAAATATTTATTTAATTTCAGGATTTTAACCCTTTAAATACCAGTTTTGGTGGCGATACCATCAATTTGTATAAGAGGAAAAAACACAAAAATGTAATTATTTTCCATACACTAAATGCAAAGAGAAAACTTTAGCTTTGGATTATCACAGTCTTGAATATGTCAAAGATTAGCGGCAACATTATTTCTGGTGCATTTAAAGATTTTGTGTTATGTCAGATTTAAAAAAAAAAATCCCTCTTAGTGCGTTAAGGGACAAAAATGGC